TACTTAGATGACACTGTAAGATCTTCCTTGAAGGGATATCTGTCCCTCACGCCTGACAGTAGTCATCTCCGAAGGCTGAGCGCTTGTGTCTTTCTTCCAATAACCTTGTCAATGCCTGCGTCCCTGGACAGGGATCCCAGTTGCCTGGCCTCTCTACCTTCTAATTCCACACTGTTGGCACCGCTATCCCAGCATCGGAGCAGCCAGGTAAGGAGGTGTTCGCCTGGATGGCAACTGAAATCCTTTCTCATGTCTCGTAGTTCACTCAGGGATAGGGATCGGGTGATTACCACTGGCTCTGCCTCCTCCTCCTGTTCTTGTGACGGCCCTGGTTCATCATCATCCTTTTACAATGCGAGGGGATTTTTTAGTGTATTTCTTCTTCTGTATGGGAGCAACTGATACTGTTGTGGATTGATGCTCCAGCTTCACCCTGCAGTACTTATCGTAGGGGTCGGATTGGCTGCAGTGTCTGTCGCCCTGAGTTGGAGTGGCTGCAGTGCCTGGTGGGGGTGTCGGAGTGGTTGCAGTGCCGGTTGTTTTGCTCGCAGATGCAGAGACGTCTTCCTTTTGAGGGTACTGCAGAGTGGTGAGCAGGTTCAGGTAGGCATGGGCCAGGCTCCAGCATGTTGCAATGATCTGCGTCTCTCTTGAGGTGTCAGGATGACAGCACACCTTTTCGAAATATTTTACTAATTTCTCAGGATCCCGCACTTTGTTCAGGGGTGAAGTTCCAAAACATTGGAGGTCCCCACTGCCCTAGGTACTTGCCCATGCTACCCCACACTCCCAGCCACTCATAACTCTGTAACCCTGGGGTAGAGCCTCTGGGTGGCATTCAGAAACAGTTGCTTAACCCGAAACAGAACCTGAACCACATTCAGGAACACTACAGCTTCCAGAAACAAGACAACAACGTTAATATGAGCATTCCATGGATATTCAGAGTTCTCAGCATTCTCAAGTATACTTGCAAGTAGCTTAGAGAAGGGAAGATGGAAAAAGGTATCTCCCCCTTGGGTGGGCTTTCTGAGGAGAAAAGGTGGAGGGTATAGTTACTAACCCACTCCAGTAGGTGCCCCACAACTCCCATGACAGAAGATTTTATCATGCCATAAATTAGAGTTACATAATACAGCAAGGCAAAAATCTTAACCCAATTCCCACAGGTAATAAGCAGCAGCATGGGGACTACATATGGTAAGTAATGTGATGTATAACACAACTGCAGCAACAAAACCCACGATTTTAGGAGCCAAGCAAATGACATTGTAACAGGATGTGCAGTCATCATTATAACAAACTTGATAGTACCCACAGATCAAATCTGTTATTATCTCAACCCTTCGAGTCCCACGTTGGGCGCCAAAAAGGACTGTTGTGGTTTGAGCCTTCTCAGCAGCTAAACACCACGCAGCCGCTCACCCACCCTCCCCCCACTTGGGAATGGGGAGGGAATCGGAGGGGCAAAGGGAGACTCACGGGTTGAGATAAAAACAGTTTAATAACAGTAACAGAATAACACGCTGACAGCAATATCAGCAGGTGATGTACCGTACAGCTGCTCCCAGCCAGCAATCCCAAACACAAAGCCACCACAGCCACACTCCCAGAAGTGGCAAGCCCCCCATAGCCGCTCCTGCCTTTATATAGTGAGCACAATGTCACATGACATGGACTATCAGCCAATCGGGGCCCAGCCCTCCAGCTGTGCTCCCCCCGCCCCCGCACACAGGTGAGGGCACTGGGACCTGGGGAGCCCCTGGGGTCTCTGTGCTGCAGCACTCCTCCAGCTACTGAAACCAACAGGAACTCTAGTCCAGCCCCAACCAGGACAATCAGATAGATCTCACGTTAATAACAACTAAAAATATTAATCCCTATTTCTATATGGGGAGGGTGTTCAGGAACCAGAACATGACTGTTTGGATTTTATTAATTATCAAACAAAAATAAGAGAACAAGTGTTAGATGAACCTTTGCCCTATAGGGGAAAAACTATTTATTGATGGGTCCTCTCAATGCCTAGAAGGGAAAAGAATATCAGGTTATGCAGTTATCTATGGGCAGAAAATGGTAGTGTTAGAAAAAGGGAAAATAGCTGCTGGGTGGTCAGCGCAGGTCTGTGAACTCTATGCCCTGAAACAGGCGTGGACATATTTGAAACATAAGGAAGGGACAGTGTACACAGACTCAAAGTATGCATTTGGAGTAGTCCACAAATTTGGGGAAGTGTGGGCTTGTGAATGTAAAAGGGAAGGAGCTAGTACACGAGCAGGTGGTTAGAGAAGTTTTAAAAGTCCTGAATCTCCCCTCAGAAATTGCAATTGTGCATGTGAGAGGGCATCAGAGGGGAGCATCGATGGAAATAAGGGGGAATAACTTAGCAGATCAAGCAGACAGAGAAACAGCTACAGAGTCATCAGCAGTAGTAACGCCAGGGGATTATGAGAATTAAGTCGGGAATTTCACAGAACAAGAGGAGAAGGATATACTTAAAATAGGGGCTGAAAAATATCCAGAAGGAAAATGGACTTTACCAGTCCATGGAAAGCAGATTTTAAACAAAACATTATCACGAGAACTTCTGTCATTAATGCATCAGTAAACACACTGGGGAATGCAAGCGCTTTGTGATTTTTTCTTACAGAATATGGGTATATAGGAATAAACACGGCAGCTAAACAACTAGCTGCTGATTTGTCAAAAAGTGAACAAAAAGGTAATGAGAGGAAAGGTGGCTGGGAGATGGGAGCTAGCCATACGGCCTTTTCAAGAGCCTCCAGGTAGACTTCACAGAGCTACCTCAAATACAAAGGTGGAAGTACCTGTTGGTATTAGTGGCTCACTTACCTCATTGGGTGGAAGCAATCCCCACACCAAGAGCAATGGCAAGCGTGGGATCCAAGGTGTTATTGGAAAACATTATCCCCAGCTCTGGATTAATAGAAAGAATAGACTCAGACAGAGGAACACATTTCACTTCAAAAATCTTACAACAACTATCTGAAGCTTTAGGGATCGAATGGGCGTGGCACACCCTGTGGCACCCTCAAAGTTCTGGAAGAGGAGAAAGAATGAATCAAATTTCAAAACAAACCTCGACTAAGTTAATGATCGAGACTCGGACGCCTTGGATTAAATGCCTGCCGTTGGCCTTATTAAGGATCCGTACTCAGCCACGAGCGGACCTGGGAATTTCTCCCTATGAAATGATGTTTGGATTACCATGTATGAGTAATAACAGGGATATTGTCAGCACAGAAGTAGAAAATCAGTATGTAAGTGTGGAACGATCAATCCTTAACTCCCGAGTGGGAAGGTCCATTTCAGGTGCTGCTGACCACCGAGACAGCGATCCGAACAAAAGAAAAGGGGTGGGACTCCTGCCTCCCGAGGAAAAGGACCGGTGGAAAAGCCTCGGGAGTGGACTGTGGTACCATCAAGTGATAACTACGAGTCTACCTCAAAAGGACTAAATAAATTTGTCGGGAGGGGACTGGGTTCGGGCGTGACACTGAAAATTTACTTACTCGCTGTATGGGGAACCACAAAAAGATATCAGGGAAAAAGCTGTTTGGTAATAGACTATGAGCGTTTTGGGTTAGATCGGGCATTGCTAGAAAATCAACCTATTAGGGTAATACCACGTCTCGAGTGCATACACGAATTTCGTGAAGCGTGGGTTTTGTGTGAGTGTGAAACGTGTAACCGCAGGTGGTATTGTATATGGAGAAAATTGTGTTATAACTGTAACAGGGACTGTGAGTATAGGGAAGGGGCACGAACTGTAACCTTGATTTGTGGGAAAAGGAGGTTAGTCCCCGAAATTTGGGATGTCCCTGAGAGTCGGTGGAAGGACACTGACAGAAAGAGCCAAAAAACGTTTGCTTAGAAACAAAGGAAGTGGCTACAAAGGAGCTGCACTTGAATTGACTGACTGTTAAAACACGGATTTGTTACATTTGAAAACAGTAGAGGGCAAGACCAGGTTAACCTCTGTGCTCGTCACCAAGAAGACCTTTATCTCAGCTGTGGGCTGCATGCCCATGGGCATGAGAGGTGGGAGTATATGTTATACTGGACCTCCGCTCATCATCCTGATCTAGTTCGCTCTAATAGCGGCAAATCCGTGCAACAAGTGATTTATTGTTATGTCCAACATCAGAGTGTGGGAAAAGGTTGTATTTTACGTCCTTTGTGCTGTCACAGGCTGCTTGTTTTTACCATGTTTAATACCCTGCTTTATATGGCTAGTATCTCATGTTATTGAGGGGATGCAAATAGCAGCTATGCCGGTAAACCCTGAAATGGCTGCATCAGCTGGTGCCCACAAAGATAGGATATTCAGAAAAGAATGAGACAAGTGTTAGTAAGCTCAGGCAAAATATGGTATTAAAAAGAAAAGGGGTGGTTTGGGAGAAGTAACAGAAGAATTTTGCTTTCGCTAAAAGTGATTAAACAATTCCTTTTATTGAGTTACTCTTATTAAAGCAGTATTGTTAAAATTATAACAGTTAAGCAAGCCTTTTGTGATCACAAGTTAGGCATATGGTTGAGCATTGTGGGGAGTTGGGCAAGCAAGAGGATGGGGGGGTGGGGTCTGTGGTTAGGTGTCATGTAAAGGGGAATCTGGATGGGGGGGCTGGGGAGGAATGGCAGCCAGCAGAAAAGGGTTAAGCAAAGAACTCCTGATGGAGAGGGACCTGGACTTCACCCCCCCACACACACACACACTAACCACCCGAGAGGGCAGTGGAAAAGTACTGAGAGAGACAGCCTCGGAGAAACCAAGAAAAAGGAGCTGGGCAGGTGTCAAGAGGAGAAAACCCGCCGTTTTCGCTCAACCAGTGAAATCTCCTGGAGGCTCTACAGAAAGAAGCCCCAGCTGGGGCAGACTGCGCCACTGCGCCCAGCGCTGTGTTCTTTGCTCCACTGACTTTGTCCCCAAGTAAAACTTTTTTTTTTTTTTTTTTAATATACATGAGCTTGTTTCTGACATGGCTGAAGCAAAATGCTTTATATTACATTCTTCACAGTAGTTCCCGTGCAATTCTGCCACTGCTGCCACAACGCGTGTGGTGGCACGCCCCAGCCAGGGGAAGGCTCTTCCCCCGGACAAGGCTCTCTCTGACCTGCCGGCGGGATTTTTAGCATTAGAAGGAGGCGAGTTCCGCGAAGGAGCCGCGGAGCTTGAGTTTGCTGGCCAAGTTGGCAACGTAGCCCCTCCGAGGTGTGCAGGGTGCCCGTGCTCCAAGCAGGCCATCTCCTCGCTCTGCCGGTGAGGGATGCCTTTGCCTTTCCCAGACCCAGAGAACGTCTTTCTCGCCCCCGGCGGAATCTTTCTCCGGGGGTCTCCAAGCTGACCCTTCCCCCCCGGGGCAGGGCCATGAGGTGAGCGTCCCCCGCCTGCCAGGGCCCCGCCGCGGGGGCAGCAATGGGCTGGCACAGGCGCCCCCCGCCCTCCCGAGGGGCCGGGGGGGGCCGGGGCGGGCCGGGGGCGGTGCTCGGGGCAGGGGCGGTGCCCCAGGGGCCCGGTGACGCGCGGAGGCCGGGCTCTGACGTCACAGAGCCCTGCCGGGCCCCGCCCGGCGCTGGAGGGCTGTGCCGCGGGCACCGCTTCAGCAGTGCCGGCAGCGGCAGCGGCGCGGGGCAGGCGCAGGGGGCCATGGCCCCCACCCGCCTCCTCCTCCTCGTCCTGGTGGCCCTGCAAGCCCGGCGTGTCAGCGGTGCGCGGTGGCGAGCGCGGGGATTAGGCGTGCGGGCAGGTGAGGGCCAGCACCCAGCCCTGGCAGCGCGGCCCGGCACCCACTGCCCCTCGGGGTGACAGCGGGGCCGGGCCGGGCCGGGGGAGCCGTGCCCAGCTCCACGGGCAGTGGGAGGCAGATGTCCTGCGGGGAGGCGCAGGGGGCTGCGGCCGCTGTGGGGGCGTTTTCCAGGGGAACGAACGGTGGGGCCGGGGGCGGCGGGGAGCAACCGTCCCTCGAGCCAGCCCTGTGCCGCCCTGCCCCGGGGCAGCCTTCCCCCGGGCTGTGTGCCAGGGCCGGAGCAGCACTGCAGGAGCCAGGCAAGAGCCCGCGGGAGCACTTCTTCCCCGGGCTGCTCGCTGCCAGATGGGCCCAGGTTGGTGGCTCTGCCGCTCCCCGGCGGCATCCCGGCTTTCAGCCTCGGGGCCGGCCGGCCTTGAGCGAGATCTGGCCGCTCAGGAAAGAAAAGAGGAGCGTTCCTGCCCCAGCCCTGCAGTGCTCCCTCTCCTTGGGCGAACCCGGGTCCCCGTGGGACACACGTCCCCAGCCCACAGCCCGGGGAGCAGATGGCGACCGGACAGGGCAGCGCTGCTGCAGCAGCCTCTGCCTGGCCAGGGCTCTCTTCTCCACGAGACGTGTGAATGAGTGATCGCTGTTTTCCTCCGCTGCTTTCACGTGGGCTGCTTTTGTGCACAGAAGAGACCTCCCCGTGAGAAAAATCCCCGAGGGGCCCTACGTAGCTTTGTCCATCCGCTGGGCCTTGAGGGGTGTTGTTGCACGTGGCCTGGAAAGAACAGTCTGTTGAAAGCCTCCAGGTGCAGCAAACAGGTCACCCAGGCCCCTCTGCAGCTTCGGCAATAAACCTCCACCCACAGCTGGCTCCCCTGTCGTTACCTGAGCCCCTTCCAGTCAGTGCAGGTCACCCAGAAAGAAGCAGATCCCCACATCTAATGGGAACATGCTTGATTACAGCTGTGCCCGTAGCCAGTGGCCACCCGAATTCTCCGCCGGATCTTCTCTGGGAGCCTCAGGGCGATCCCACAGGTACGTCACTGGAATGAGGGAGCAGCTAGGTTTTCATTTTCTGTGCCCAGGACAACACTGAACTGAACAGTTTCTTGGCCGACGCTCCGCCGTGCGGAAGAGCAGGGGGCGAATGTGTTGGGCTCGCTGATGTGCCCCAGGGCACTCTGCCTTGGGAAGCTGTCTGGGCCAGCCTCTCCAACCCTGCGCTGCTTCCAGCGCCTGCTGCAAAGCCAGCGGGCTTGCTGGGCTGAGTTTCTTGGAGCTGGTGTGAGCGGCAGGGAGTCCTTTCTCCGGAGCGATACCTCCGTGCACGCTTTCCTTCTGGATCAGCGTGGCCCAGGCCCCCAGTACCTGTCTGCACAGTGCTCCTGAGGGGAGGGGGGGGACGAGTGCCATGGAGCAATCCCCTGTTTGAACTGCCTTCACGCCCCTGTATTGTTTTGTATAGTGAAATACAGTTCATGGGAGCCTCTCGGTTCTCTTTGTTTACAGACGTGGCTGGAGGCGATGGCTACCCAGCTTCCCAGCCGGCTTCCAGGGCTGACGCTCAGGGAGATCGCGTGGGTACGTCCCGGCTTCTTGCTTCCCTTGGGAGCTGCCAGCTCAAAGGCCAAATGTGGGCGAGGCATCTCTTGCGGGTGTGAGAATGCAGACGACCTGCACTGTGTGTGCCAGGTCGTTACGTGATGCCCTTCTATGTTCTGCTATTCAGCTGTGTCAGTGTATTGTATCCCAGCGCGTGACGGAAACTTCTCGTGGGTGTTTGGTTGCAGATGTGGGTGCAGGGAGGGCTCTTCCCGCTTCTCGGCTGGATCTTGCGCTGGAGCTCACCTGGCATCGCAGGGGTGAGTGGTCAGTCTCGACTGACTCACAGACTAAGCACTCATTCCCAGTAGTCTATTTGCCAGAAATTTAACTTTGTGCTTTCCGTTCAGGTCCTCCGAGAGCCAAGTACAGAGCGGAAATGGAAAAATCTTCCCCGCGGTCATCAGAAGTCCTAGAGGGAGTCCTGAAGGAACTGGACAAAGCAGCACATGGTGGGTAGAGATGATTGCTCTTCACCAGAAGCCGTGGGAAGCGGAGGTGTTGGGGGCGTGGATGGACAAGCCGTAGCCTGCACAGCAGGAGGAGGGGGTCGCTCAGAGCCTCACTGCGGCCACACTCAGTTTCACGCCTTGCAGGCGCTGGCGAGCTGCAGAGATGCCCGACTCTCTGCTGCCAGTCGCGGTTCAAACCGAGTGCCAGGACCAGCTGCTGCCCCGGTTAGAGCCTTACCGGGGTCAGAGCTGTTCTGGGCAGACCTTGGTACCCAGCTGGCAGGAACTGGTGCTCCTCACGCCTGGAATGTGTGACAGACTTGCCAAGGAGCTGGTTCCTGACAAGTCATGAGAGGGCCAGCACCCCGCCGGTCGCCCACCCGAGGGGAGAGTGCCCTTGGGCTGCGGAGAGGATGCGCAGGCAGCTTGGGGTAGCTGAGAGCAGCGGACACTGCCAGGGCTGCAGGCGTGCCCTGGCCAGGGTCGGAGAAGCCCCACCTTCACAACCCGGTCCAGCCTCGTCGTTCTTGATGCCTGAGGACGGTCGGTGACACCTCGGTGCCAGGGAAAGGTACAAGCTGGACACCCAGCTTGAGGCCAGACGCCAAACTTGAAGGCAGCTCAAATGAAGGGCTGTGAATTCAGTCTCGGTTGGTTTAGCTGCGCCTGCGTCTAGTCGTGCTTTGGATCGGTCGGTTGTGGTTGTCCTCTTGTTTCGGGGCACTGCGGGCTCGTCAGTGCCACTTGTGAAAATGCCCAGAGTATGGTTGCAAGAGCTGGCGCTTCAGTCCACCATGCGTGTCTGTTACCCTGACCGTGGGATGGAGTTGACACAATGGGAAGTGCTTCTCAGAAGGGCTCTTTCCCCAGCTGAACTGGCTACAGCATCTTCCTGTCCCCTCTGACAGATTCTGTCATTTACCATCATCTTGCCGTTTGCCAAAAATGCACTAAGTGGAATGCGAACAAGCTCACGTGCAACCTCCTAGTCTCCCAGCAGGTCAGGATTTTCTGTCTGCTGGTTAAAGTGGAAAGGGTCTAGTGCTTAAATTGTCCTCCATGAATGACATGTCATTGGGACTAGGCACTAGGTACACCCCCAAATGTCCCGGCTTTGTTTCTAAGCGTCATGAAGGGATGTTGAGAAGTATGGCCTCCTGGAGATACTGTGTTCCTGATGAGGAACGGTTACTTCTAATTCAATTGTCCTTCTTTCTTTCTAAAGAGACGGACCAAGAGACTGTGGAGAACGAGGCGTTTCAGGGAGGACGCAGTCAGGCAGTGAGAGTGTCTGATGCAAAAACGGGGGCAATTCAGTCAACAGGCCTCCCAGGTAATTGCCGTCCTTTGATCCTCCAGCACCACGCATCAAAATCACTCCGTGTCTTCAGGCTCTTCCCCCAGTGCCCTCTACCGCGCGTCCTGTCGGCAGCACAACCCAAAAGAGTTGGTGGTACAGAGCGAGTGCTTCAAAAGCAGCAGCCAGGACCGGCTCTCTGAGGATGCCGGTCACCTCTGGGCTGTGGAGGTGCTTGCTGTCAGCGCGCCGGGGAGATGCTCCCTCGTAACCCTCCGTGGATGCAGAGAGATGCTCACCTCCCACCACACCCCGTTGACAGGACTTTCAGAACTTAGTCATTTGGGGAACAAGACCATCTGAGCCACGCTCAGCAGATGATGGGAAATGCGACTCTTAATGGAACGTACCCCCCTGCAATAGCTGCAGGCCAGAGCTTGCCCTGGGTCCCTAGAGGCCCCAGGCACGGCAGCGGGGGATCCCTCCTGTGACCTGAGGTCCAAAGGGATGCACTGACATGTCGGGCACAGGCTTTGGGGAAACCTCCACCATCCTCCTGCAACCTCTGCGCCTGAGCCATTTCCCTTTCTCTGAGGTTTTGCCTTTCTCTGAGGCTTTCCCTTTCTCTGGTTTCTATGCAGTTCTGTCCAAGCCCGGGAACGCCCACCGCGCCAGGATATATGGATTTTTTCGAAGCAGTCCAGGTACTGAGCCATCTGGCAGGGGGCCATAAGTGGGAGACGCGTCCCCAATTCTCTGAGGCTTTCCCTTTCTCTGGTTTCTATGCAGTTCTGTCCAAGCCTGGGAACGCCCACCGCGCCAGGATATATGAAGTTTTTCGAAGCAGTCCAGGTACTGAGCCGTCTGGCAGGGGGCCATAAGTGGGAGACGCGTCCCCAAAAGCGGCGGTGTGCAAGCAGGGCCCATGCTGGAGGGAAGGCGAAGAGAGAGGGCGAGGTTCAGGTGTCTCCCGAGAGGGCCTGACTCTGTCCCCTCAGGGTGTGGGTGCGGAGCTGGGGAGGGAGAGCTGGGGGTGGCACTCCCTGAGGCAGGGATGGCTTTTGTCCATCTCACTCAAAGGGTCGATCGGTCCAACGGGAGCTGTGCTCCCCGACGTGCTCTCCATTTGGCCTCATGAGTTCAGTTCAGTGGGACAAGTTGTCCCAGAGGGCCAGGGAGAGCCTCCATGCAGCAGCACTAGCAGCGAGCCTCGGAGAGTGGAGGTGGGCGAGCGCAGCAGAAATTGTGCGCAAATGCGGAAGGTGACCGAGAAGGGGGAGCAGACCGGGGACACTGCGAAAACTGGGTTACGGCCACCCCAGAGTGCAAGCAAAGCTGAGAGCAGAAAGAGAGGCTCCAGAGCGCGTTGATTTGCAACGGCCTTGGGAGTTTCCTTGGCTTCTACCGAAACCAAGGAAACGGTGCAGCCCCAGGACGTTCACCGGTTCAGGGAGGCCAAGCAAGTGCGAAGGAACATTTCCTGGCAACGTCAGACCTCCTGTGAGATCACCAGTAGCGTGCGGGACACGCTAACGTAGAGCATTGTTCCTCCAGGTGTGGGTGGCAAGACAAATGCAAATGCTGCGGGTCATGGAAACTTCATGGAGTACTGCGTGGAGGGTGCCAGTGGCAGTCCTGGGCTCCATGCTGCTTGGGATGGTGTTTTGTTGTGTGTTCCACCTGTGGAGGAAGCGAAAACAGTGAGTGTTGCCAAACTTGTGTGTCAGATGGCTGCTATTAGCCACGAAGCATCTAGAGGCCAGGTATTCTGGCGTGCCGAGATAGTTACCGGCCAAACGCTCCGACAGACAAGGCTGTCCCCTTGTCTGGGCAGGGACGGGCACGGGAGCCGAGTGCTGGTCTCTGGCAGGCACGCCGAGAAAGGAGAACAGGAGGCTCTCCTGGCCCTGCAGTGCCGTGCCCAGCTCTGGGCCCCTCGCTCTGCCGGGGTCAAGTGCCCTTGGCGGCACGTGCAGAGCAGGCAGGTCAGGCTGCTCAGGGCCGAGAGGAGATGAGCCGTGGGGAGGCGAGCAGAGCCCCAGCCGAGGGGCGCAGGGCACCCCTGTTTTCTGCACAGAGCTCTCTGTGCCCACAGCTCCCACGTGCAGCCGGGTGCCCACGACCCGTGGGGTGCCCACGCTGCCCCGCACCCTGGCACCCACCCGGCACCGCAGCCGCCGCGGGGCCTCAGCAGTCTCCTCTCTCCACAGGCGCCCCTCCGCAGCTTCAGGAGCCTAGCCCAACCCCAGCAGCCATCCCTCGCGCCCGGACAGCCGTCCGGACGGCCCACCCCGGCACCCCTGAGAGCTGGACCCGACACCAGCGGCCGTCACCTCTGCCTGGAGAACTGGCCGGCCTGCCACAGCGCTCCAGGGGACCGGCCCTCGCCAGCCCGGACAGATGCCTGGCCCGCCCACCTCCACCCCGGCCTCCACGTCCGTCCGACAGCCGGCGAGCTGTTGTGGGACCAGCCCAGCACCCTCCAGCCCCCGGAAGAATTGAAACCACCCCCCCGTCCCCCGAGCCCATTGCCCCAGCCCTCCTGACAGACTCCTGACCCACAGCGCCAGGGATCGACCGTTTATTTCAGAATAGTGGTAGTAGCAATAAATAGAGGTCAGTAGCACACTTGTCTGGGTCGTAACGGCAGCAAGCTCAGGAACTCACGGGTTCTGGGTCGAACTTTGTATCGGGGCACGAGGGACAGCGAGGGAGGTCCCCGTGGAGTAGATCTCCATTTACCCTTTGTCCTGGGTTGAGTGAGTGGTGGAGTTTTTTGGTGGCAGGGGAGGGGGCTATCGGGGAGGCCCCCTGTGAGAAGCTTCTCGAAGCTCCCCCAGCTCCACGTCAGCTCCACTTCTGTTTGGGAAATTGAGCCAATCAGCTGCGCCTCTGCGATAACGTATTTAAGAAGGGACGTGGTGACAGGGCAGTGGGACTTGTGAGGAGGAGTTGCTGCAGCTGCATGAACACCAAGGTCAGTGGAGGAACGGAGGAAGAAAGGAGGGGGGAGGTGTGCCGGAGCAGAGACCCCCCTGTATCCTGTGGGGAGACGGCAGGGCGGCCCCCCCCTGCCACCCATGGAGATCTACGGTGGAGCAGACATTGATTTATGGCCTGTTGCTCCTGCTTGCCTGATCAAGGCTCTGTGCCCGAAGAAGGCCAGGGTCTCATGGGAAAAGGTAGCCCCACTGCTGTAATTCAGCGCGGGGAGGATTGCAGCATGCGGGGGAGTCCCACGCCGGAGCAGCTCGGGAAGGGCTGCAGCCGTGGGAGGGACTCCAGTCGGAGGAAGTTAGTGACCCATGACAGAGTAGTGTGGGGAACGCTGCGGCCCATGGGAGGAATTCAAGTCGGAGAAAGTTTGTGGAGGACTGTCTCCTGTGAGAGGGGGACCACGATGGAGCAGGAGGAACAAGTTTCGGACACTCCCCTCACCGAAGATAAGGGAAATGGCAGCGCTGCCTGCACCCCCCATTCCCTGCCCCTGCGCCACTGGGGGAGGAGGTAGAGATATCGGGAGCAGAGCTGAGCCCGGGAAGAAGGGAGGGGTGGGGGGAAGGTGTTCTCAAGATGTGGCAATGCTTCTCACTGTCCTACTCTGTTATGTGTTGTGAGTGTCTATAATAAATGTATGTTCTTTTTTTCTTCCCCTAACGAGTCTGCCTTTTGCTCATGATCATAAAAGGGGGATTTTTCCCCCATCCCAGTCCTATCTTGAACCCCAAGCCTGGCTCTCTGTCCCTTCTCATTGCCGGAGGGGAAGGGAGAGAGAGCTGCTGCATTGTGGTTGGCTGCCAACCAGGCCTAAACCACAACAATGGTATCGTATCAAGCGGATAGAGCGAACATATTGGGCTCTTCCAAAAGGGTCGTGATCTTCACTCATAAGTCAAAGGACCGATTGAAACAAAAAAAAAAAGGCCCAGACAATAGGCCTCAAACCAAAGTCATTGAGAATTGTAACAAGGTAAAGTTTGAACTTACTTAATTTCAAGAGAGTTGGATTGTTTCATTCTTTCCATATCACATTTTACCAATTGTGTTTTGAGATGATCAATTTCTTCTTTGTACAACTCAGCACCTTTATCTAATTTTGCCTGAAAATAAAAGATTTAGTGTGAAGAAAGGCTTGTTACTTAGCAGTGAATCTAAAGGTTGCTTACTTTGTATCTTTACTAATACCTGCTAGATTTTGCAGGTACAGGACTGGGAGCAGGAAGTTATTCTGGAGTAAGAACACCCATGTTATCAACTAGCGCCACAGTATTAGTTGGTATCCTAATTCTGGTGTATTACATGCAATCATATTTTAGCAACTTTTGCTGACTTGTTTGCATATATAAGTCTGGGCATTTTGAACCAGTATGGTAATATATTACATAGAAAAAACAGCTCATGCTTCAGTTTCCAAGTTCCAGATTTTCTTACAAGGTTTCAGAAATGCATCATGTACAACTGAAAAATTTAGCTTCTAATATAACAAGGGTTCTAAATTTTGTCTCTGAAGGCTGCATTGGTAGAATTTGAAACCACAGGCCAAACAGGCAAGTAGAGTGTTTTAATTAAGAATGCCATACAGAACAATAAAGAGATGCTAGAGAGCTATGTTTCATCTACAACCGTTCTCAAGCATGCTCACTCGCTCCCTCTGAGATGAGAGGAGAATGAGAAGAGTGTTTTGCTCATACCTGAAGACTCTGATTCTCTGTTCAGGTGGTTTTGAGGCACTTCTGTCTCATTCACTCTGGCTTGCAGTTGGGTGAGCTCACTTGTTGCTGGTTTTATTCTTATCTGTGCTTCTAATTTGTTTATCCTGTCATCTTTGACATTTTTTCCCCACTTCATTTATGACACTTTCCAACTTCTGAATTTTTATTTCCATAGCCTATTCAAAACCACTGCATCTCCTAGCATATTGCAAGATTAAAAAAGACAACCCAAAACCCCACACCACATGTGTCTAACAGAGTAAAAAGAAAACCCTAACTCCCCACCTCAGCCCCCCCCACTAACGTTTTCTTAAATTACAAAGGTGGATTAAGGTAACCATTTGTTTTCTGAAGACTTAGCTGATGAGCAGTAACTAACTGCTGACATTTAGGAGAACAGAAATCCCACCGAATGCCAAGAACTTACACACAGCTTTGTAGAAGACTTAAAAGCTTCTCCATGTCCCCTGCCAAACTCATTTTCAGCACCTTCCTATAAACTATAAATTCCTAAAAAGATTAGGCACTTTTTACGCATGTTCCCTTCTCAGAAATTTGCTATGTTTGCAGTAGCAAGACTGAGTCATTTGTAGAAAACTGAATTCTCACAACAGCCTACCTTAAAAAGGTGATGCAGGATTTTTAACTCAGGTTTGAGAATATTACCTGATATTTCCTTCTTGTTTCATACAAGACCTAAAAAACTTACTTTCAACATAGGAAATACAACAAAAATAAAACATACTCTAGAATTACCTTCATGGTTTAGAAATCAGCTTTATGTATAACCACACACATAGGTTTGTCGGTTAAAAATCAAAGATAATACAGTGCTTTACATCTAAGAACAAGCTGTGGAATGACAAATTCTACCTGACTTCACTCAGTTTTACTCAGGAAAATTCAGAATTATTAAGTACTACAAAAACATACATGAAGATTTGCAAGACTTCCTTAAAATGCAGTTCTTAGGTGACTTCTGACTCAAGATTATCTCCCTTCTAAATCAGTTGAATCTGTTTAAAAAATAAGCTTGTAGGGAAGATTCTTTTCCTTCAACACTGAAGGAGGCTTTCTAGTAATGACATACTCATGTTGTTAGTGTTTTAACACTTGGTCATTTCACTAGAAAGATCGCTTTTTTACAACACGTGTGAAACAACTAAAGG